TACACACAATGTTATTCACCTTTAGTTCATAGAGCAGCACTTTCAAAATAAAAGTGCACAATACCCTACTTTTGAATTCATTATTGAACTTTGCCATAACAATGAGATTAATCGCGATTCAAAATTGTAATCGTTGCCCAGCACTAATATACATATTTATACTACTTCACACACTTCTTCTATGTACCCTTATATACACGTATACTAAATATTTCTACTACTACTTACACTACACTTGTATTACTAATTAATAATATGAACTGCAAACACTAGAAATGTCCCATTAAACTGAACCGATGTATGAAACTCTTCCTCACATCATCATCATCACTCACCTGTCCAGGTGAGCCACGCCCTCCACCTTTAGAGGGGGGGCTGAAGGGGAAGAGGGGGGGCTCATCGGGGAAGAACTGAGAGAACGATTGTTCAGACAGCCGGTACTTCATCACTGTGGAGGGCTGAGAGACAGGAAGTGACATCAACACACAGGAAGTGACCGTCGACACACACAGGAGGAAGAGGCACGCTATCGTGTGAGGAGGCACGCTATCGTGTGAGGCATCAGTGTTGTTGTCACCTTGAGGACGATGGTTCCATTCTGAGGTTCACAGTGTTGCTTAAACAGCAGCTTCAGTCTCTCTTTGGACACGCTGGTCTTCCTGCGACTGAACAAACACCAGCAGAGAGACATTCATTCAGCAGCATTATCTTAATAAGCAGTCATGTGGTAACTTGATGAGCAGCCTGTCTGTCTGGATACACACAGCAGACAGACAGTATGGATGATGTCACTTCCTCTCACCTGATCTGATTGGCTTTCACAGTGAACGGCTCCGTGTGTTCGGCCTTCATCATCTTCACTGTGTATTCAAACACTGACGGACTCAGAGGCTTCTTCCTCTTCTTCCTGCTGACACACACACACACACACACACACACACACACACTTGAACAACAGAAATCCTTTTTTCTATTCCAAACATTCTTTCCCTAGATTACCCACAATGCACCAGGGTTTGACCCCATGAGGACCAGATGACCTACTGACCCGTTGATCTGTGCTTTGATCTCCTCGTCGCTGTCACTGATGACGATGGTGTCGTCTGCTGCTTTGGAGCGTCTGTTAGTGCTGGAGTGAGGAGAGTGGACCTGGAGGATCTCACACACATGTCTGACACACACACAAACACACGCACACCATTATCACTATCTCACATCCATTGTTATTATTATAATAACATGCCCCCCCCCAGTACCTGGCCCCGTTGCGTCCCACCACATCCACCGTCTCCCCAGGGAAGAAGCGGTCCTTGCTGAAGGTGTAGACGTCCTCACAGAGCTCCGTCAGTCTGCAGCGGTGGCTCAGGGAGGCCAGGTGGAGCAGAGGGACCAGCAGAGACCTGGAGAAGGTCTGAAGGCTCACAGAAGCTCTCCGCTCGCTTTCCACCGCCTCCAGGTAGGTGAGACCAGCACGACCCGTCAGACAGCAGCTCCACACCAGACTGTTACACAGGATGGTCCTCTCAAAGAACTCACTGAGGAGAGAGGACAGGTAGGTGGGAGACAGGTAGGTGGGAGACAGGTGAAGGACAGGTAGGTGGGAGACAGGTACTCACTCGTAGCGCCTGAAGATCTCGTGGGTGATCTTGCAGAGGAAGACCTCCTCTTCTGGTCTCAGGTCTGCTGGAGGTCTCTGCCGGACGAAGGCTTTCCGGTGGAGGAGCGGCATCTCTTTGAAACTAAACAACAACAAATAAGGAGGGAAACCGGGTCACAGAGAACCGAACCTGGGACCCTCCGGACCGGGCCGCGGGCAAAAAAACACCCTAAAAAAGTCCGGTCTCACGAGAGAACCGGAGGGAAACCGAGCAGAAGCCGCGCGGAAGCAGCCTCGCGGGTCTTTTGTTAGGAGTCCGTTAATCTGCCCACATGGCGCGCGAGGTTCCCCGACTCTACCGGTACAAACCCAGTACTAACACGGTACTAACACGGTACAAACCCGGTACTAACACGTCTCTGGAGGACTTCACCGAGTACCGTGTACCGCTGGACGGTTAATCCCCTGGTACAAAGTCCCGAAGAAGAAGTAGTCCCGCTCAACACTAGCGGCTTGTTGACCAAGTTGTCGTCCCCTTCACGGACCCTCACGGAGCTGGGAAATCTCAGTGTTCCTGTTATTCTACTAGTTCCTTTTCTTCTTCTTTCTTCTTTTTTGAGGTTTATTGGCGGTTGGCAAACAATGAATGGTGCATTACCGCCACCATTTGGTCTGGAGTGTGGATCAGGATGTCTAGTACTGACAGTTTAATAAAATGAAATGAAATGAAATAAGTCACTTTTTGAGTTATTTTGCAGAATATCCACTACATTAAACTGTACCTCATCTCTCCTGATTTACATGAATCATAATAGTTCAGTTTTCTGAATAAATAAGTTTGAACTCATGTTGGAGAAATAGATGGTACTATGTACTATAATATACTATATGTAAATATCAGTGGTGGGCCGTCAGTGGCCTACACAGAATCACAAAGTTATATCTATTTTATAATTTAATATGTTTTGTTAAATACACTATAAAAATATTTTTCCTATTATCTTATTTTCTCATTGCACAGCTACTGTCTTCCTCAGTTGCTCTGCTTCCAGTGCAGCTTGTTTTAAGTAGAGCTTTTATCCAATCAGATCTCACCTCTGTGTCTCTAGGTAAGGACAGAGGCCCGAGGCCTGCAGACTCACAGGTGCATCTATGTGCACTTTAAGTGAATGGGGACGATATTGTTGATTGTCATAGTGTTCAACCAATCAGATCATTAGTTTGACATGTTGGGCGTATTGTTTGACGTGTCAGAGCCTGCTAGCTGGCCTACAAGTACGTGATTGGTCAGTGGGCTAGCCTGACATGTTGGGCGGTGACAATCCCAATATCTGCTGCCTCTGTGGAGCGGACATTTTCAGCCTCAAACACATTAAAACATATTCAAGAAATACAACTGGGGAGGCTCGACTGTCTTCACTGGCGTCCATGAATGGAGAAGGGCTTCTTACTGGAACTAAAACACACAGATGTACTGAACAACCGTGAGATTAAACTCTTTAACAAAGAAAGGAGGATGGACTTCGTCTTTAAATAGTGAACAGCAGCTCTGCAGTAGCTTTAATATGCTTGTTTATATATTATTATTTGTACAACTTGTTTTTATGAAGATTGATTTTTGTTTGGTTTAATATGCGATAGGAACCATTGTTACGTCCAATGTTGCTCTGGGGACATATTTAGCAGGTGCCAGTGTCGCCAACTTGGCGACTTTCTCGCTAAATCTGGTGACTTTACAAACCCTCATGGAGACTTTTTCTGTCAAAAGCTACTAGCGACAAATCTAGCGACTTGTTCTGGTGTTGTGACTCTGACGTGAAAGCTCGTACGTTCTGCGTGGTGGTGAATGAGCAGCGGTGCTGCCGTGAGCCCCAAAGCTCTCACAGGTTACTCTCACAGCAGCCTCATGCTGCAGAGGAGAGGAGACGCACTCTCTGCGTACTCATGTATCTGCACTCTGCAGTTAGTGCATCTATAGGTGTTGACCTTCATTTTGACACAAAACAAATAATAAGCGTAGCTATGTTTCAGCTGCAGGACAGCAGTGAAGGCCCAGGTATAGAATGCACGGCCCGCCACTGATTTACATATATATTTATAAAGTATATAAATAATATACTTCATATATATAAAGTATATTATTTATATACTTTATGATAATGTTCAATAATTGATTCTGAAACATGTTGCTTCGTGTTTCCGAGCTGTGGTGCGTCACACTGCCAGCCAATGGTTGACTCGGAAACGGCCCCGGTGACGTCAGAGCAGTGAGTGGCAGGAAGCGGTGACGTGATGACGCAGAGTGAGTGACAGTAGGAGGCGATGCGTCATCAGAGTTCCACACGTGAAGAAAATAAGTAGAAACAATGTTTTCATGTCTCAAATTACAGCTTTACTCTTGAGCGGATCATCATAATAATAATAAGATAGTAACAGGGTTCATACACATTTTGACCAATGGATTTCCATGACTTTTCCATGACTTTAAACCAAATTTCCATGACCAAACATTTTGTGAAATCTCGGTATATACACATGAAAAAGTGAGAAAATGTATTTAAACTTACAATGAGAATTCCAAAGCATACAGTAAACCTTAAATGACAAACGAATGAGACAATAGTTTGATTAAAAGAATAAACATTTATAAATATACTCTGGTTGACACCGACACATCAATAAGAGCTTTAGTAGGTAGTAGCATCCAGCTAGTGCACATGTTGCTTTCCCTTTGGTAGTGCACATGTTTCATTGAACCCTGTTACTGTATGGCTTCATATTAACTTCCACTGTTACTGTACAGCTGTTAGAATTGTGGCCTATCTTCTATTTGCAATTAATATGCATTCAATCCAGTTCAATTATTAAAATGATAATCTACTCTGGCTAAAGTAACTTATCAAGAGTAAAATAATAGCTGTGATCTATATACACCTCTGCATTAGCAACCTGCTGACATGAAGGTACAGGCTCCTTAACCCTCTCAGTACTTCAGGGTTCTTGAGAGCAGCGTGGGACTGTTGGGACTGTTGGTCCACTGGCTGTGGTCATCACAGTGAACAGTGTGATGAGAGGACATGTGAGCCCTTGTTGCTGTAGTTCATCTCATGGAGCAGAGGCTACATGTAGCATAGCCTGCCTTATCTGTCACGGGGCATGGTGAGGACTCAAGCGCAGACAGCCAGATGCAGTGAGATGAAGGCTTTTAATGAAATACGAACACACACAGGAAATCCAAGGACGAGACAAGAGACGAGGGGGCAAATCCAGCAGGATGAGGCAGGGCAGGCAGACGTGGGAAACCGGGAGCAGGACAAGACAAACAGGTGGGTACAACACAAACCAGCGTCGGAAATACACGAGGGCAAAGGGCAAAACTGCCCCTAAGAAATATAATGTTGCCCCTGATATCACTAGGAGAGGGGCAACAAATGCCCCCATAATTTCCTCTAATAATAATGATAATTTAATGAACTTGTCAAAAACATCGTAGCCTACATGACCCGGTCCAGTTGCCATAGAATGGTTTTGATTTTCGCCTTGACTGATGTTGCGTGTGCGTGAAGAACCGAACGTTCTAAAGGAATAAATAAATGGAGCGCTTCTTCATCAGACCTGAGACTGCGAGACTGCGGTCAACTCAGCAGACACTTACATGTTAGAGCGGAAAGATTAACGTGAGACAACATCCGGTTTCTTCAGACGAACATCCGGTTTTCAGAATAAGATGCCAACAAAGTATACATATTGCATAATGGAAATTAGATTAAATTAATTATATTCACATTAAGTATAAAACATGCTGCATCTCGTGAGTTAAAGGGAAAATACACCTAAATTGTGCGTGAAGTGTCTTTATTCTTTGATTTGGGGTTGCTGATGAATAATACCTGACTGACAGTCAATTAAGATATTTTACTAAGTAAAAACTCTGAACTGAACTTGTACCTTCAAATGGCACATTTTTTAAATTTTAAGGTGCCATAAAAATGTTTTTCTCAAAAATTCCACACAATGACTGATGTATAAATTCAGGACAAAAATGGGTAATATCACAATATTTGAGGTGCTACAAAAATATCTTTCTCAATAATTCCATACAATGACTGATGTATATGTAATCAAGGCATCGTTGATATTTGTTAATAGTTGATGTAATGTAATGATAACAATAAACAACAAAGAAATTGTTCAAAAAAATCTAAGAAAACACTTTGAATCTGTAGACTACTGCCTAATAGTCTTATTATTGCCATTTGATGACAATTGCTCATATACTGTAAGCCTAATTAAGTATATTTATTATTTTGAACAAAGGTTAAATGTTATTTCACAAGTTTCAAAAAGTGCCCCCAATTTCTTTTAAATGCCCTGGATTTCAAAAAAATATGTAAATTTCTTACCCTGACACAAACAATGAGCTGGCAGTGAGTGACTGAGAGACAGGGGTTTATAAGGTGACTTGAACAGGTGAGGAGAGTAGTGCTGATGAGGGAGAGCTTGATTACTGATCAGGGACTGGTGCTGAGGGAGTGGCTGAGTTAGACTGGTGCTGAGGGAGT